GGTTTATAGCCGAGCGAATAGGGATAATACAGATAATAATCGATACGAATAATGAATAGTGACGGTGGAAATTTGTGGGGCAAGGAGTCATTTTTTTTTTTTCCATTCTACCGACAAACCGATACGTAGAAGGAGTGATTGGGTTAATTAAAACCGGTAGGCATTCGGTAATCCGTCCGACCGAACTAATCACTCGTAATTCAATTTAGTTGGCTACATCGACCGACGCGACGCGGCGGACGTACGCTCAGGTGCGCTTCAATTTAATACCTCGGTTAAAATCGTTAACGAGAAACGCATCGAATTCATTCCACAGCTACCCCGCCAGAGAACGATACCCGAACCTGCTCGCACCACAATGTTTTAAACATCGATTCTCACAGTTCACAATGACTTCAAACAGATTACTATAACCATAACAGCGAATCAAATAATCATGATTAATTATGGGACGATTTAATCCAATCGAGAATTAAATTTCACGAAGCTTTTAATACAGTCCGATAATATTTTGCTACGTATACTGTGTTTCACTCTAAACAGGATTCACGTTAAACATTGTTAAAACATCAGCTAAACGTGAATCTAGGATCTATCAATCGAATGCGACACGTTTCTCCTCTCAACGAAAAAGCTAATGGGATTCGTTTAAATTTGTAGATGGGCACGACGTCCTACCCGAGCATGACTCAACCGTTCTCCATGTCGCATTCAGCCTCGAACATGTCAGCGGTCACTGGCATGAGACAAGACGCGATGGGTGAGTCAACATCATTTAAGATTGTGAAAGAATAATGTGTAAAGAAATTTGTCTAAAATTAATTTTTAATATTTTTTATATTATTTACAGTCATATAACAAGTTATTAGTAAATGTTAACAATAAAAAAAATTTACTTTACTTGGGAAAAAAAATAATTTATGCATTATTATTTGTACATTTGCCCAAAAGCAGTCAAAATGACTTTCTTGGGCAATCTAGTGTTAACGACGAGATCCACAAGTAAAAGAATTAGTACACTGATTCCCAATTTCCTATTCAGGAAATTCGATGTATTTTACTATAATGAAAAAATAGATCAGTCGGAAGTTCGATCAGTACTCGATCATCACTAATCGAAATAAAATGGTAAAACGGAGATTTAAGAATCGGTTTAACCACAACCCTTTCACGATCCCATCGCATTAAGACGTTAAATCGTTAACGTCGAAGAACTCACTAGTGTATCTATATGTATATATAAAGTGGGAAGTGGCAATATTCTCGCGAATAGTCTTGATTCAATTTAAAAGCGATATTCCATCTTGGGCCGGAAATGGTGTAAGACGCTAGCGTTGCTCGTCGAACGGAAATCGAGGAGGACTCGAAGACGTCGCTCTGCCCCCCTAGCCAACGTCATTTCCGTCACACGGTTTTACGAACTCGTACGGACTGCCGCCTGCACACGAGACAATCAGAAAATCCCCTCACCCCCTCACGATTAAATATTATAAACGTTATAAAAATTGTCAAAAGATATTTAACAATCATAAAATAATAACTGAGACGTAATTATAAATTCGTTTGTTCAATTTAACCGGATGAAATGTTCGTATTTAATAATGATAAAATAACCGAGACGTAATTATGAATTCGTTTCTTCAATTTAACCGGATGAAAATGTTCGTAGGTATGTCAGCGGAGGACGAGTGGTACAACAAGAGCATCTCAGCTCTCAGAATGAACACGGCCCACCACCCGAATCTAGCCGCGCCTATGCTGCAGTATCAAACATAATTGTAAACAATTGACCCACCCGGATCTACTCGACGAGAAAACGTATAATAAACGCTCGACTCTTCGTTCAGATATGGGAGGAGAATTGAACAGTTTGCCGAGAAATCGGAGGAGGGGGGTGAGAACGAGAACGAAGACGTCGATTAATTGATTAACAATTTAACATGGATTTATTCGTTAATCGATAATTACCATAGGCGTGTGTCTACGATTACGACTAATTTCAATTAAATACGAGATCTATCACCAGTCGCTTTGATCGAGCTTTCATTCACAAGAATTTAACCTGGATTTATGGTTAATCGACAATTGCCATAGGCACGTGTCTATGATTACGACTAATTTCAATTAAATACGAGATATCACCTGTCGCTTTGATCAAGCTATTATTCATTTTACGTTCAACCTTAGGAACGGATACACGATTGAGTCGTGTAATCGACGAGATCATGCAATATACTAGTTTTCACGTTTTACATTGAACGATTGTACAATGGCTAGGTTTAGATAATTTTATGATCGTCGCCCTAATTTGTCACGCGATGGTGAAACGCTGTTTAGTTTAAAACGGGCAAACGCCGCCGGTTACACCAATTAATACGAATCTATTGATAAACAATAGATATTGATAAAATTCGACGGACGCACAATTGAAAAATGCTTTTCGTTCCGTTTCTTGACAACGATCTGCGAAGGAGGCACGTCTCGTTGAACAAAGTACGAGGGGCTGGTTGTAAATAAGGCGAGTGGGTGGTGAGAAGGGGGGGGGGCGGAAGACGATACGTATACAGTGTAATCGATATTCTAGCATTATGCGAATTTTTCAATGTCCTTTTAAACGATGTAAGCATACCCTTACCTACCTACCTACCGTTTAAACTTTAGCGGAAGAATAATTAGGTGATAAAAATTATTGATTTGTGTGTGCGCTTATGTTCGCCGGGAAGGATTTTAAATAAATGACAGAGCGGTGCGAGTTTGAGGCGCGAGGAGTGAATCTGACGATGCGAATTTTCAAACAGTTCTCGCGTTGGAAATTTGAAGGGCGCCAGGGTCTCGTCTGTGCAACGATTAACGTGCACTTTGAACTATCCTGAAGGAGAACCACCTGTGGAACCACTTTATAAAATTCATTGTTAGGTATTAAAATCATTTCCGATGTTTCCACGAGCAGTTCGATTGGTTCCACTTTAATTTGTCAAAGAGAAACGTATTTTAAAACGTGAGGAAAGTACAATATCGTGGAAAAATATCCCTGGCGCCTTTCATCGGTGATATTTGGATCTGTCCAATCAACAACAATCGTGTCTATATTGGTGTCATTCTTCGAATAATTGTCTAAATAATTAATAATAAATCGAGGATGAATAATTGCAGACGATCGCATCGTTTTCGTGTAGTTTCGCTGCAAGGACTCGAAGAGCCGCGGATTTTTTTGCAATTAACCGAACAGACTTCAATACTTAAAGAACCATTATTCACGTAATATATTGTATAACGCTAAATAAAAGAGATCAAGTAGAAGTGATTAAATAGGTATTACGACGAGTAAAATCAAACACTGTTTCTATTAATTAACGCTGGTTTCAATCTGTTTTTAATCGAACTTGCAGAAAAATCCGCGGGCCTAATTATATTAAAGTAATCGCTCGCGGTTGTTCCACGCGAAATGTTCCTAAAAAAAATTTGTAACATATCACACGGTTATACCAAACAGTCGCACGACACACACACACACACACACATACACGCACATTCACACGAGCACACGTGTTTTGCGTGTCGAACACGGAAAAGAATAACGTCGACGGGATTAAAGAAACGACGAAGGTGGAAAATGTGTAACGAGGGCGAGCGTAATTCATAGTTTATAAGCAAGGGTCACGTATTGTACGTATGTGTTGTACATAGCCTAAATAAAAATTACATTTAAAACTATTATTGAAAATTATTACCNAATACTTGAAATTAAAAGTTCTTCATGCCGTTCTTCTACAAAAATTAACATTTATGTATTCACGATATTTATACGTGAGAATTGTTGATACGATATCATTTTATATAATACAAAAGTCAATTAATAAAATACAATCACGTGGGATTAAATTTAGCGACGACGGCCGATCGTCGCTCGCGGCGACCTTTTAAATAATCTCTCGATCAATCACTTTTAAAATAAACATTTTTCAACCCGTATCCAAGTGACATTAAATCTAAATTATGGCAAAAATTTCTACCGTGCTAAACGAATCGGATGAATCGTCAAACAAGAATTCATCGTTGCCTACTCGTTTATTTTCATTCGTTAATCACATGTGCTTCGCTATCTCGCCCGATCAATCTCATCGTGTCATAATTTTTTAATCAAATTCGGAGATAGAATTTCGGAAACTTTTTAATCGAACATTAACGCGACATCGTTTATCACGTTCATCGCTATCCGGGGAAAAAGGATACTTTAAATATTCATTAAATCTCATTTCGTACACAACACAGGCGTTGGTAGTTACGTAAATCGTTCAACTACTCCACGACACCGGTTTCAGTAACATTATGCACTTGCAAATTGATGATTATCTACAGTGTCTCCTCTCTTCTTTTTACACAGAAGATTCCACAGGCTGGCCACAGTATAAGAAAGAACAGTAGGTTCACTAATGGTGTCGACTCTTATGATCTCATCACGTGCTGAAACCACAATCTTGTACATTACAAAATCGTGGGTCAGACTCGACTGTTACTGATGTGCAGCTGTAGTTATCAGATATACAAAAGAAGTCCTGTACAATCTCTGCAAAAATGCAAAAACTGCAAAATTGTACATCTCCACCAAAAAATTGTATATGATCTTTTCTGCAGATAATAATAGTGCCCATGATTTTCGAAATTCCGAGAAAAAAATTTCCACCCCTTCAGATTTTGCGAAATTTTGCAAACGAGTAATTTGCAATAAACTGTTTTTTCGTTTTTTTGTCAAATATTCGTCAACTATTGTTACTATCGATAAATGTTTCAGACAAAACTTGTAGCTTCCTCATTAGTGATAATTAATTGATAAATTGAAAATTATTTATTGCATAAATTTTTTCTTCGCATCTACGTGGACCTACTGTTCTTTCTTATACCGTGTGTGGCCTCGGTATGTCAATTATCAATATGATTCATTTTCATTTGATCTTTCATTTGTTTAACCGAGACCTAATACATATTTTGGTAAATTGTAGGCGAACCGGGGAATCGCCATGACGACCGACATCCTGTAAATAAATTGAAAAATATTAATATTTGATTGTTGATTCATTCGGTATTAAAAAAATTTAGCAAGCATTTTATTAAAATTGATTTTATACTTATTTTACTTCTCCATTCGATCTGATTCGTAATTACATGAAAATTAATTTATTCGGCATTAATTATGAGCTGAATCTCGACAAACTGATTGAAACAATTGTACTTACTATGAGCAGAGCAGAGCATAGAATTTTGTTGAGAAATCCAAGTGTTATGTGCTTTCCACCACCGTGAGGTACCACCGCGAGTTATTTAATTGTCTAATTATAAATAAATAAAAAATCATATCACTGTTCGAAGTTAGAATCAATAAAACGATTTCTAATCATTCTCTCTCATCGACTCCCTATTATTCATAATAATATTATCAATATTATTAGTATAATTAATATAAATAATAATATAATAATAATATAATAATATAATATAATATAATAATAATTAATATAATAATATAAGAAATATTTCTCGAGTCATGTTCTTCGAACAGTGTTTTATTTTAAAAATTAAAATACGTGTTACATAGTTTGTGCATATGTATAATATTTACAGAAGGCCATCCCATATTGCTGAAAGACCAAAAACCTAATAATAATATGTACAATAACAAGAAGAACGTTGGATGAGTAGGTCTTAGATTTTGGACGATGTGATTCTTTATTCAAACAATAATTTGTACAATATCGTTTGAGGCGTTACGACAAAGTTTCTTGAGAATATATTGCTTGTTAATTATTATCGTTACCCTCTGACCATTTATTATTCCTGTTCAAAAGGAATAACTAGTGCTTAACTATGCGCGTTGTGTAAACTCTCTTAAACGACTACGACGTTAATCTTCCTGCGAGCAATGCGCTGAAACACAAACGACTAGTCACACATGCGTACCTATCATTCAGATTCGATCACGTAGACGTGCATTACGCGATTACGTATCTAGCGATCACAGAGGAAAGTTAAAATAGGAATTACGAGTAAAAGAGAAGTGCCGTATGACTATGTCAGACTTGAATTTCGAGACGATTACGATGTTCAAAGTACGTAACAGCGTTCGATGATAATTGACTTAAATAGAATCGTAAGATGTCAAGAATCAGTTTATATGTTTGTTGTGCATTGTTCCGCAGGACCCAAGCGTTAGACGTTTAGTTAATTATTGCTCTAATTGTCCGTCATTGTTGATAAGTGTTGTATTCTTAAAAGTATGTACAATATTTTCGATTATAATTTCTCAAGTATAAATCAAAAGCCAGTGAAACAGAAGTGTTGCATAATTATAGTATTTGAGAAAGGAAAAAAAAGGAAGCAAAGTAAATGATATATTTTATACATATTAGCTTTTACTTGTAGAAAGCATGTTAATTGGACAAGACCAAGTGTTCAGTAATCCCATATACGTAATACAAATATTTTTTAAGAAACTATAATAGCTGCACATTCTTCTATACTTATTTAAATATTTGCATTACCTGTGCGATCACATTAATTAGAATAGAGAATAGAACGATAGAAAGGAAACGTCTTACGTCCCGAGTGAGCCAGAGGTTTTCATAAAAATTCGTAATAATTATATATAAAAATAGTTAAACGACAGCCTTGCTTGTTTTAAAGAACTAATTATTAGACCGCGGATTTCTCCGTGGAAAATGTACGAAAATGCGAAAATCGGATTTCGCTCCAATACGTGTTTCACTCTCACATAGTTCTACACGTCCAAGTTTATGGACGCATTTTTTATATTCTTGTATAAATGCATCGAATCCGCGGTCTGTTAAATAATATTAGGAGGAGCTCGCCCGGTCGACCTGGTTGGTGTTCACGTCGCCGGAGTGAGCCTGAAGCCACGAATCGTGTACGTACGAGAATGCTAAACCGTTGTAGATCCAAGCCCTCCAGCCCGTTCTGGTGTCGGTGTCTATCCTCGATTCCAGCGACTGGCACAGCTCCTTCCGGTCGTGACTCCTGCCGCTTCGCAAGTCGCACAATAAACGCTTACGGCATTCGTCGTTACACGTCGGCCTCACCGGCGAATTCTTATAATAATGCCTGAGAAAAATGATATAAAAATCTCCGATAGAACTCCGTGGATGATCTGATTAATAATTAAATCGATCTCATCTGAGATTGAGACTCGAATAAAATCATGATTTTATTAAATATGAAATGATCTGTGAACTTACTTGTAGTAGAGATCGAACAACGATGGCTCGTTGCTCATCTTGTCGATCAGAGAGTCCCAATCTTTCGGCAGAAGCGAGGGTATCTGATAAGCCTGCCGAACGCTGTACAGCTTGCGCCAAAAAGGATAATCATAAAGATTCGCTTCTTTCAGATTCATCACCCAAGTCTCGTGATCTACAACCATCTATGCAACGGACGGAATTTACGAACAATTGCTTTGGACTTTTATTACTTTATATAACACCTATGTATAACTGTACGTGTGTGTGTGAGTAAGATAAATCATCGGTTTAGACGTCATCATTACTCACCCTTGTAGTTTTTGGATGGTCCCCGTCGACGTAGTATATCCTGTAGCCAGGATTCAGTTCGGCATAAGGTGTGACCGATGGCCCGACGTAAGCTATGCTTAGAGCTCTGCCGAGGTCGGCCGTGTCGTAGAACAATTGGAACTCGTCGTAGTGGGTGTGACCGAAAAATTGCGCAGTGATCGTCGACTCGTACCTGGAACGAATTCGTAATAGCTGCAGCTTCGACTAACGTTCGGATTAAAAGCTACGTAGAACGTTTTTAAAACGAGAAATGAGCAAAACGAAGATTTTAGTTTTAGTCGAATTTATGATCGTATATATT